CAAACTATGGTCCTACTTTGTACGATGTGGAAATGCTCCACCTCGCACTTCATGTATCTGGTACTTGGAAGAATGTCCAAGACAAAACCTACACGTGTATGGCCCTGTGAAACTTTCAACTAGTCCACTGAGCGAATGTGCACCGAGATTATCAGCTGCAGCACAGTGCACTGTCCCTTTAATACTTTTTCCAGCACTGGAAATGAAAACTCCTTCCTTTTCTAGAGTGACAAGATCTTTCAAGAGTAGTTCCAAAACTACTTTGTATTCAAATTGTTTGACATCAACAGCTTTGCAAAGTAAAGCCAGGTGTATTGATGTTAATTCAGATTGAAATTCAAATGGCAAATTTGCCAAAATCCAATAAATGGCTGTAATTTTGTGTTTTTTCCTTGATGTCTCTAGTGGGTTACACACCTCAAAATCATCTAGTCGTGTTTCTTCTCCAGCATAAAAATCATTTTGCTTGTAAAATTTTCTATCAAAAATTGACTTATATCTAGTGCTGTTTGAACACCTGGATAAGATTCCCTCTGCAACGTCTTCATTCTTCACAATTTCCTGCAAAGTTTTGAGAATGGGCACATACTGAAAGGTCTTGTTCTTTTGAAAATCAAGAATATATTCAACAGGGTCAACACACTGGAAATGCTCCTTAAAATACCTTCTTCTCTTAAAAGCTGAACTAAGAGCACCACCTGCTCCTAGTGCTGTACTAATGGGATGGAAGCTGCACAGTTGTTCTGCCAAGTCAGTTATAATGGCCTGGTCTACAGTGCATTTATTGAATCTCAATGTTGAATCAAGTGTATTTCTCACAACAGCAACAGATGCTGAAGATGAAATGAAGTGAAGGTCTTCAACCAAGGCATCAATGCACCTCGCAGATGCATTACATATGCTCTCTAGCTTCAGCAGAAGCAAGACAATTCTTTTCAGAACTAGGTATGATGCACATTCCGGATCACCATCTACACTAGTACCCTCATCAGCAGTGGCCTCTGGCAAATCAGAGACGTTGGCTGTCTGATTATAGTGTCTCTCATACACAGCTTGCTTAAAATCACTCAGAGAATAGGGTTTGTGTCTTCTGCTTTTGTGTTTCAGAAATGTATTGTAAATATTTGTCAGAAAACTGCACCCTTCAAATACACAAAAGACAGTTTCATGGACTTTCAGATGATTTCCAATATGCTGAAAGAAGTCCTTCTCAGTAGAACAACTAGAATCACAAACTAAACACTTAAAAGTGGAGATGATATTTGGCTGTAGACTTTCCTTAGCTGCATGGTACCTGGACAAATGTGTGTGAAGCGCACTCTGCGTTTTGAATGTGCAAGGGCAACCACCATGGAGACATGGCTGAGATTGCCCACGACTAAATGTTGCGTGCTGTAGTCTGTAATGCTTTAGTAGGTTCCCTTTTGTAGCAGACAAAGACTTGCAGATCTTACACTGCCATCCCATAGGCAAAAACTAAATAATGAGAAAAAAATGTCCTATTAAGTATAACTGTATAAATAGTAACCTACTTCAATAATAGTGCTAATAATTACATAATGTACAGTGACACATAAAAATCGAGGACCTTTGATTTTAGCGTTGGTTCTTTTTCAATCTTGTACATTTAAAAAGTTTAGGTTTAGGTCAAATTCAGGTTGGAACTTCAGATTAAACTGTATCAAATTTGCTTAACCAACAAAAGCAGATAAAAAGATGATTTTTACATCTAAGTTATCAACATGGTGTTGCAAAACAGTGAACAAACCTTTACACAATATACTGTATGTGAAATGTAGTATCATGTATTTAGTAAGTGCAATACATACCTATGGTCTTGATGTGTTGATCTGATTCTTTATGCACCTAGGAAGAAATTAATAGCTTTAAGTCATTTGGATAATTAATATGTGCCGATGTACACACCAGCCTCTATCCAGAAGACCAGAGCATGACACATAAAGCATATTATCAGATGTCCTGTCAACATAACTCCAGACAAAGTATAAAAAAAGAAAAAACGAGAAAATGCCGCAGTGTTTAAAAATGTGTCGGAGCTACCGCTGTCACCCCCAGCCGGTGAATATGCCACTTTTGACGGGGTGATACTTGAGTATAAAGTGTTACTTGACATGAAGTGCAGTAAATCTAACTTTTACTCACCTCTCACAACAACGTTTGTTCGCCGTCTCGCTTTACTGTTAGCTAGCTTGTTAAGGTGGGGGAGGGGTGGAAGCACCGACTGACTCTGAATCACGATATAAGCTACATTAAACTTAAAATACTACCAGTAAACTTGTTCGGTAACTCACGGTAATGCAAAACAATTTTCAACTACTGGGGCAACATAGATATAAAGTCTTGTTATTAAAATCTCTTACCTTGAGCAAATGGCAGTCGACACGGCTGTGGCAGACATCAACGTTCGTGTGGCGCAAACGCCTTGGGCGGAAGTGTACGGCGATTAAAACCAAAGAGTTCCCATTGAGTAGCATTTATTAATTTTTCGACATTGTTGACTTTACTGATAAAATATAATTAAATTCTACTCACTGATTTTCAGCAGATATTATTCAAACAAAAATGAGTAAAATGCAATTGATAAATGACTCAAATTTGATTAGATCAACACAATAATATACCAAACTGCACACAGTCATTTTTTTCATGTATAGGTTACTAGTATTTATTTTGTAAATATTAATTGAGCCCAGTCACACTTTTTAGAGTGTGTATGTTTTTATTTTGTCTGTCATTTATGACATGCATGTGTCGATGTTGTGGCTGCCCATGTAATGACCTTCATCAAGCCATAGGATTGGACCTGGACTTGACGTAAAATTTTCAGACTGACAGGTGCAGTGGCTGAGAGAAACCATACCCCTGTGAGAGAGCTACAACAAACCTACAAAAGCCTGATCTTCACAGCAGGTCCAGCTTTTCGAGCAGTTTTTAGTTAAATGACATTTGCATTTTAATTGATTGGAGAAAAAGCTGAGCACTCGCTCTAGTAACCAGTTACCAACTGTGATGAGAATGCAAACAAAAAGATCCTTAAGGAGAACATCAAGAAAAACTCTTGTCCAGTTTCATGGAAGTGGCCTCTGGCCAGTCATAACATATTGGCTATCTCAGTTCAAACTTGTCCATGATCTTCTTCCTGCTCGACACTGAACAGGGCTGCTTCACCACCTCTCCTGAGCCTCTCAAGCCACTACACGTCCCCCGTCTGATGACCCTCCAGTCCAACCAGCTGATGCTGGACATTTTCCTTGTCAAGAACCAGCAGGGAAGTATTCTCTCAGTGCTGATGTTGCTTCCTCACCACAACACTCACTTACCAGGACACTTCATCCTCAGTCAACAGACAGTGTGGAACAGATCTTTCTCCCTCCTGCCATGAAAATCTGCAGCCATTATCTCCTCTTCCACTTTTTTCCCCTTCCACATTAATAGTTGGGGAATCCATAATCAGAAACATCTGTTTCTTCAACGCAGCCACACATTGTTTCCCTGGAGCCACAGTCACCGACACTCTGGACAAGCTCCCAGGGTTGCACTCACTCCCATCCTCCAACGAAAAAAAATAATTTCAATGACATTTTCAGCTTTTTAAGTAGTTGTGGGAAGTCTGTTTTTATTTCCAGTCCTATTCCCTGGTGCAGGTCTTCTAAGCAGAATCCTCAGCCTCCACAACTGCACAGTGCACAAGTTTCACTGACAAATTTGGACCTGTTTTGGAATCATTTCTCCTTCAGAATTTACAGAGTCTGCTTCAACAGGATAGGTAGCCCAATGCTAGCAGCTAACTTGCAGCATAAGGACAGCATCATACAGTCCTCTCCACATGACACTTCATCCCTGAATCTCCATTTCAAATCCCAGAGTTCACTTTACCTGTTCTCAGTAGTATAAAACCCTCTTTCAATAACTGAATGAATGTGTTATCAGAAGGTTGTTAATTTAGCCCATACATAAATCTGTAGCAAATAAAACCTTGATGTTAAATAATTTTTATTACTACCTACCCTTTGTAACAGAGACCTGGCTTATGTCAGGTGACAGTGTCTTCACTGAAGTTCATCCCCCAAACTCTATGTTCAACTCCCCCAGGCTCACTGGTCATGGAGGTGGCATTGCTGTGGCTCTTAAAAAGCATTTGAGCTGTAGCCTCATCTCAGTGGAGAAACCATTCCGGCTTTGAACTGTCATGTCCTCAGTCAGTTGTGATCCCCCTGCTTGCTGTACAGTTATTTATCATCGGCCTAAACCAATTATATTCTTATCTGACTTTATTTAATCTATTGTTCTTAGCTATGATAAAGTCGTATTGGTATTCATGTGGACAACCTCACTGACACCTTTGTGTCTGAATTTTTAAACAGCATGTATCACATCCAGACATGAACAAGGCCATACTCTTGATTTAGTTTTTACTTATCAACTTTGAAAGACTTTGCCTCTGATCACAAAGGTGTCATTTTTGACATTGTCCTCCAAGTAGCTGCTCTTTCCACAAAACAGTCCTCTCACACCTCAAGTCTCTCACTTCGGGTAAATGAGAGTGTAGAGGAGCAGAACGTAGGTGGATGAAAACAAACCTTCAAGTCCACCTCCTGTAATCAAGAGATTTTTTGTCTGATTATAACTTGTTGATCAAAAAAAGAGACTCAAATATTTTACAAACTTCATAAGAGCATTGAAGAGTTCTGCTTCACACCACTGATCGCCACTCTCTAGCCCTGCTACATCAAATGTTTCTTCTGATTGTGACATCCATCCAACAACCTCCCAAGAGGATGAATCCTAATGTATTTTGTGGTATGAAAAATGTGACGTGTGAGCTCTGACCAGTTTGGTGTTTAAGTCTTTACAAAATAGCGAGCAGCAGCTCTAGTTTGTTTTTTCCTTTTCATGATCAGGTTTCTGCTAAAAAATATTTCCATCTCTTTCACAGATGCTGTCAAATTGTGTCTTGTTAGATGGTAAATATGTCTTACCCTCCGTTGAGGCAGCGTCGCAGAGAGTAAGAGGCTCCCCCCCCGCAGGTTCGAGAGCAGTCACTCCAGGGGCCCCAGGCGTCCCACCCGATGTCCCTGTCTTCATCTGAGCGGGTCATTCTGGAGGCCTACAGAAGGACAAACACCAACAGAGAGGTCACTTCAGTAAGGTTACATATTCACAGGTGCAACACCAGCCACACTGACATGTTTCACATGTTTCTTTCAAGAGAATTACTGTACTGACCAAGACAAGAGTGAGTGAAAAGAGTAAAAACAAAGCCACAAAATACAAGGGTTTATGGTCATAAGACAGAGCTTGTTGGATATCTCTCATTTGTTTAAAGGACCAGTTTAAACACTTAACGTAACGGATGTTGGTAGGACCCAGTTGCAGCACCACACACCACAGGTATGATTGGTAATGACCTTTAATTATGAACCAGCAGAGAGAATACACACAGGGGGGTATTGGGGGTAGAGGAATGGGTCCGGGACTGGAGAGTCGTGGGTCAGGTGAGTGGAGCGAGGTGACTGAGCTCGGGTCCACAAACTTTCCCCTGTGTCATACAGCTGGGGCTGGCGGTGCCGTGCATTAGGGAGCAGGCTGGAGACGTCGTCGAGGAAGCAGGAGGATCAGAACCAGGTGAGCAATTAGCAGGGCAGACGAACCAGGAAGGAGCAGGCGGTTAATCAAAGCCATCAGGAAACCAGCAGGGAAGCACTCACGTCGCGACGTCAGAGCTGGAGAACGCCAAACAGCCACAGGGACAAGCAGACGGGGACCAGGAAGTGCACAGGCAGAACTCGTGGTCGGGGACAGAAGGTTGAGGCGTTTACTGGGGCAGAGATGAGGCAGGATGGTCAGGGATGAGCAGAGTTGATAACGGGAAGTCAGTTCAGAGCTGAACGTTGGAAAGTCTTGCATGATACTAGAACAATCTAGCAAGATGCGAGTGAACCGGGGATGCATATATACTGGCTTGATTGGAGATGGAGTACAGCTTGGGGCAACAGGGGAGGACAGTGAGGCTGATTAGGAGGTGTGACAGAGTGGAGAGTGAGACAGAGGCAGGGGGAGTGGAAAAACACAGAGGCATAGAAGGCTGTGACACAGCTAGGTAGATATATGCACAGTGACCCCTGACCTTTCCTCTCATGGCACCAGCAGGTTGACATAGTCTTGACAGTCATAGGATGGACTGCTGAGAGCTGCTGTGGTCCCGTGTGCCGAACACCATCATCAGGTCAAATTTTACTTTGTCCAATACTTCAGATTATGACTAGCAGTGTCGGGCTTAACACATCACTAAGTAAAATGTTCAGTGACAAATGAGAAAACAACAACAAATAATGATAGTAATGCTCTGCCACAAGGAGGATCAGGTTTCACTGTCTCACCAGGAGTTAGATCAGAGGGTTGATATTAGTTTAATCTCTGTACAGACAGTGGACATGTTGTCTCAGAGGTCTGTTGAGGTTAACAAGTCCTCCAAGTTAAAGAAATGAATAATTAAAAATAATCGTCTTAATCAAAGAAAGATCATTGTGGTCTGGGTTAAAATAACTACTTGGGTTAGGGGACCTTTGCCATCATGGTCAGAGAATGAGCCCGGTTGTGGTTGACTGAACAAACAGCAATCTACTGTGTTAAAGTTTAATGACTGATGTCCAACCCAACCTCCTCTGTCTGTGGATGTTGTCACTCTTAATAACATTGCCCATCTTCCTCCGCTGCCTCTGTCAGACAAGAGCTAGAATTACTACAGACACCAAAGGCTTATCAATAGTTCTTCTGATTCTGATGTAACTTCTCTTGACTAGTCCTTGTTTAATGATGTAACTAACATGTTAATGTAAACAAACCAAAAGTCATCCTTATTCTGTTTATTACTGACTGAACAGTTTAATATAGACTGAACTCAGAATACAGAACTCTTCCTACGATTTTATTGACATCTTGATCAGATCAATTGCTCACTTCAAGTACATCACTACATACACACCTGTGACCATATCAGTCGACCACTCTGGACCAGACTGAAATATCCTGACAAACTTCATGTTCCCCATAAGATGAGTCCCACTGATTTTGTCGATGCTCTCAGTTTTCATTTAGTGATACTAGCAGGTCAGTTATTACCAGTGAAACATCTTTTTGAACAGGTTTTGATGGAGTCAGCATTGATGAAAGTCTCCACGGTTCACACTGAAACACAATGTTAGTCATAGCATAGTGGAGCACTTACTCCAAAAAACACTGACAAGCTCCTGTTTCTACAGAAGACATTCAGTCAGTAAATTACACTTTCATTTTGTAATCCTCATACAGATAAAGGACTGTTTACAAATTATTGCTGTTAACTTTTTGAATAAGAAAGCTGCTACCCACATATATCTCTGTTTTTTCCCTTCTGTTAGTCAGGCAGTGACCTTCGTCTAGACTATGTTTGTGCAAAGGAAATATGTTTCATATTGCAAAATGCAGAGAAACCAGGACTGAATGGTTTGCCCTAAGAGCCTGAAAACAATTTCCCCATTTCTGTTTATTTAATTGAAAATTTAATTTGAATATAATTATGAGATTCCCAAATATTCCCACCCTGATTGGAAGTCGGGGCCAGACAGCACAACACTGTAAAAAGTCTCTAAAGAATATATATATTATAATACATCCACTGAGTAGCTACTTCTTCTGGGTGGATTGGACACAACAGTGACTCAGTATCAGAAAGTGAGGGGGACTGGGGCTACTTGGTTAACATGTTAACTTCAGTAGATGAAAAGAAGTGATAGAAATAGACGCAAAACAAGAGTTAATATTTTTTTTCGGCTTTGGAAACAGGTCTCGGTGAGGAATGGAATGAAGTTTGATGCTAAACTCACAACGTTTCTTCTAGACTGGTAAGTAAACAGCTGTTAAATCTAATGTTTGCTATGTAGCAAAAGTAAAACTTACAAATAGCTCCCTTAAGGTTAAGGAAAGATTATGGTGATGACAAATAAACCATTGTTAAGGTTTGGTGGAGGTTAGGAAATGGTTATGGCTATGTTTAAAGTTCCTCCAGACATGTTTTAAACTGTAAAAAAATGCTCTGCTATGATTCATAATTTCTTTAACATGGTTTTCACACATAAAAAGTGAAAAAATTGCACAACTGGGTCTGAAGCTCATCTACTCTTGCTTCCTGGTTGAGAAATCTGGATCAGGCCTTGAGCCCCGCCCACCATCTGCTTGCTCCAGGTGGACAGGTGAAAGAGGAGAGAGTATCAAGATGGTTGGAGGAGGAAACATCAGAGAGACTCAACCACATGTTTGAGCCTCAGTCAGACCCAGACTCAGATGAGGAGTCTGTTGAGACCAGAACCAGAGATTAACAGACGTATCAGAACAGTTAGCGTAGTTAGCATCTTTTATTTGTTTATGTTGTTTGTTAGCTTGTAACTGACAGTGGGTGACACAGTGGTTGCGCTAATGCTAACTTTCTCTCTCTTTACCGACAAGGTTTCATGTTTATTTAGCCCCGCTCCCCGTTCCTTAGGTTTGTGACGTATGAAACCCTGGCTGTCTGAATCTGTTTTTATGAGACTGTCATTGGTTCACTGCAGTTCAAGGTGGAAACACTCAGTCATGGTGCTGATGATTATGTTTCTCATCATATGTCTGCATTAGATAAAAACATCATATGGATGTTAATAAGGTTAACTCTTGAAAAATGTTGATCAGGCCCACTTGATTCTGATTTTGTATCAAGATCGGAAGAGGACAGTGACTCAGTGACTCAGTGACTTTGAAAGAGAGTTAATTGTTGGGGCACGTAGCAGGAGCTTCAGTCACAAAGATGCTTAACTGGCTGGTGTTTCTATAGCAACAATGACTGAAGTGACATCTGCATTTAGATCTATGGGAAAGACATCAATAAACAGGGTTGGACATTTGTGCATTAGTGTGATATGTAATAAAAACAGAAGAGAAGCTCTTCCTCAGGTGACCGAGAATGTCAATGCAGGATGTCATCAGATGGTGTTAGCAACAGCAGTCCATCCACAGTTACATAGAGAGGGACATTATAGTAGAGCTGTAATGATAATCCCTCATTGTTAAGAGAATCCATAACTGAGAGTTCAGTGGTACAAAAACCAGAGGTGGTCTACAGTGGAAAACAGCATGTTCACCATGTTCTCCACAAATGGGCGAGAGCCTGAATGCTTGACCTCTACAGTGCGGGGATCCAGTGGCTCTGTTATGCTGTTGGGGGCATTTTGCTGCCATGGTTTGGCTCCCCTAGTCTCCTTGGAGGGAAGAGTCACTGCAGATCAAAAACATTTCCATGCTGATGGAGTGGATGCCAGTGTCTCCGTTCACAGGTCACAAGGAGTCACTGAACAGTTTGATGAGGATGAAAATTATGTAAATCATATGCTGTGACCTTCACAGTCACCAGATCTCAACCCAGTTGAACTATGAGAGATTTTGGACCCATATCTTTAGACAGCGCTCAGAGTACCATCATCAAAACCGATGAGGGAATATTTTTATGAAGAATGGTGTACTTTGATAACTAGATGTGGTGTAATTCCCGTCCTGTGTGTGTATCCTGATTAAAGTGCAAAGGAAATACTTAAAAAAATTTGGTGATGAGTTTGTATAAAAATCCCAAAAAGAGGATCCACTACACAGATTAATCAGATCTGCTTGTACAAAGACTGAACTGCAGATTATATTATTTTAGTTTCATATTCATATGACTATTCAGTAATTGTTTTTTCTTTAGTGCTCAAAGAAACAAAAACATTCAAATGAAATGCTGCAAAACTTATTACTAAGAGACTGAATCAAAATGACATGTTTTTGCTTCTAAACTCAAAGCTTAACCATGTCACTTGTATCTTGCTAGAAACAAAACAGAATAAATCAAAATTGCAAGGCAAGACGTTTACCTGAATGAAGTCAGCAGTCTTGCATAATCCGGTCTATACTCAGATTAAGCTAAAGAAGAAATACTAATAATACAAGAAATACTGTTTTTTCAGTGGAGTCATTTCTGCTACTTCTGTTCAGCTGCAGTTTGCTGCAGTGTTGTTCCACTGAATGCATTCTCCAGAGAGTGAAAGAGTCCAGCAGTGA